TTCTGGGGTGGGTGCTGAAATGTTTGGAAATAAGAAAGTTGCACAACACATGTGTGAATGCACTAACTGCCATTTCACTGAATACTTCAAAACGGTTGATACCATTCTGAGTGAATTTTGCCTCTATTTTTTAAGACAAAATGGCAGGTATGTAATCTCAGCCATCTTATTTGAAACTGAAAATGTCTAATGATGTATCTTTTTGATATGGGACCTCTTCTTTGGCTATGGTTGGCATTAACTCCTATTGGCATTTCTGGGAGCATTTATTGTGAAAACCAAACTCCTGATGAATTTTCTAGTTTAGGTTTCTTATTAAGGGCAAAATTTTAAGATACATCCAGACAGTAAGAGTGCAGAATTCCATCTGGATTTCAGATTTCCTCCTGACTCTTTTGTAGCACCATTTTAGTGCCTTACCTTTATTGAAGCTTCAAATGCTGTAATTTCTTTTCCATGGAAGACACCCTCTTTTCTTGTTTGTATTTCATCATTTTTCAGTGACAAGTACTACTGGGATGACCAGGTGTGGGAGCCAGCACCTGATCAGTGAGCATTTCACACGACTAATGGACGAGAAGAAAGGGCAACTATAGCTTTGCACATCTGATCAGATTAGAAAACCAATTCCATCTCTACATATATGCTTCTGGAACCACTTCAGGTGCCCAAATTGTATCTGACAGCAATTGCTCAGAGAGCAGAACTACCATGGGGATCTAGTCTAGCAACAGGAACCTGCACAGTTGTAGGAGGAGCTGGGAAGGGACGTCAAGAGGGGCCTGGGAAGGATCAAAGAGGACGGATGACCAGCCTCCTGAAGCAGGTGGCAGGGGCCAAGAACTCACAGGGGTACCTGGAGCCAGGTGTGTCCCGTCACCAAAAGGGGAGCAAATCAGAGGGCTTGGAGGGACAGTCTGTGAGGTCCGTGGGAAGCTGTGGCCTTTGGAAACAGGCCTGGGGCTGCTGGGGGTCAGCAGGGCCAGCGGGAGAAGAGAGAGTCTGAATATGAAGAGACAGAATCGACTAAAACGTCTGCAGATGTGCCATACTGCCTGACCGCAAAGATGCTCAGAAAGGAACGTTGCTACTTCTTGTGCCTCCCACCTCTAGAAAACTATCCTCCTTGGACCAATTCTAATCAAACTACCTGGAGAAGGGGGTTGTGTTAACCGAGGCAACAGCAGAACAACTTTCAGCACCCTGGGCAGAGGACCCAGCAGGATTCCTGCAGTCACCGCACACCTGAACTTGCCCTTGAGAGTTGACACGGATTCCATCCTGATCCTTGGCGTGTAGCTTCCTCCCTGCCCTGGGTTTCTGTCTGTGTCCCGAACATTCTGAAAGGCCAAGGGAATGTATTTTGGTGTTGGCCTATTTTCGTCAGTTTTCTGGGCACATGGTGGTCTCAGCAAGCGGGAACTTTTGAATTGTTTCTCTGATCCTTTCTCCCTCTGCCTTCTTTCTTACCTCTGTGTAGAGCTTTAGTATTCGGGTCTTTACTTCCTGGGCTTCCCTCTGGTGTCATGATCTCTTCTAGTTTCTATTTCTATGTCTTCTTTTGCTCTGCTTTCTTAATTTCTTATATTTTCGGGGCTTCCCAGGTGGCGCCAGTGGTAAAGAACCTGTCTGCCAGTGCAGGAGACCTAAGAGACGTGGGTTCAATCCCTGGGTTGGGAAGATCCCCTGGAGGAGGAAATGGCAACCCACTCCAGTGTTCTTGCCTGGAGAATCCCGTGGACAGAGGAGCCTGGCGGGCTACAGTCCACGGGGCTGCGAAGAGTCAGACACGACTGAGCATGCTTATGTTTTTAATGAGGGGACTCAGGGAGAATTCATGCTTTTCCTTATAGTTTCAAAGAATGTTTTATAATCAGAGAAATATCAAAAAAATAAAAGAGGCTTTAAACTTTCAGAAGAAGATAAAACCAAAATAAAAGTGCAGGAATTAGTAGCCTTCATGTATACTAGAGAAAAAATAAAGCTAGAAAGAAGATCCTGCTGACAATTGCAAGAAAAAGTATTAAATACTTAATTGAGCTTAGTAAACTGTGGGTATGGACTGTCCAAAGAAAACTGGAAGACTTTTTTGGGAGATGAAAAGAAAGATGTGAAAAAGTGATGGTGCAATGATAAACTTATTGCTTTGCTTTCTATAAGATTGGATCATGTTCAATTTCCAACTTGTCTACTGAGTTTCTCATGTCTGCTGTAATATCTTTAATTTTCTATGAACTCTTTAATTCTCTGAATGTCTGTGTTTTATGGCATCTGATTCTTATACAAGGACCCCTTATGCCCCGAGCATGTCGGTGAAAATCGATATGACCATTTCTCATGACCACACCTGGCCTGCGACTGCATACTTCCTCTTCTAGTCGCTTGTCCAGTTAAAAACTGGAGGTGTGTGTCCACATAGAGACTCGTACAAGAACATCCATAGACCTTTGTTTGTAAACAGCCAAAAGCTGTCGTCAACTGAAATATCCACCAGCCAGAGAACAGGCCAATCAGGTGTGTTATACCCAAACAGGGGGACGCTAATCAGTCATAAAAGGAGTGAACACTTGTGACAAGGTAGGTGATGCTCAAAAGCATTGTGCCACGTAAGGAAAGCGCCGCAGGAGAGTGCGTGCCATGTGGTCCATTTCCATGGTCTTCTGGAGCAGACAGAGCTCGCTGATGTGATAGAGATCAGAGCAGGGGCTCCCTGGGCGGGAGGGGTGGTGGGTGCTGGGACCAGGGGCTAACAGCGACAGATACTGGAGAGAGGTTGATGGGACAGTTTGATACCTCAAGACATGTGAGTGTCATGTGGATGCGTATGTTTGTCAAAGTTCATCTAACTGTGTCAGGATCTGCTGCACTTCGCCGAATGTAAACTTCACAGAAAGAGGGAGAAAGAGGAGAAAGAAGGAAAAAAGGAAGGGGAGGGAGGGGGAGAAAGAAATAGAGGAAGATCTGATTGGCAGCACTGAGCCCTCGGGTAGCATTAGCCGACTGTGGTCTTCAGGGCCTATCTGGCGGGGATGTCTCCCTGGGGAGTATGCAAGCTCAGAGGATTGGATCTTCCCCCCGGAAAGTTCAGGTCCACTGCCGTGCTCTCTGACCTCCTGTCTGCTAGGATAGGGCCCTGTTGCCAGTTTTCCAGCAGCTTCTGGAAGGAACAGGGCGAGAGGTCTTAATACTCATCATGCCCCCTGCTTACACGTGGCCCCTCATTCCCAAATGTTCCAGAAAACCCCACTCCAGAGGCCTCAGTCTACCAGGGCTGTGGTCTGAATGTTTGCCCCCCTGTAAAATTCGTATGTTGAAACCTTAATGCCTGATGTGATGATATGAGGAGGTGGGGCCTTGGGAGGCAGTTAGGTCATGAAAATGGGGTCCTCACAAATGGAATTAGTGCCCTTTTATAAAAGAGGCCTTAGCTCCCTCACCGTCCCGCCACATGATGATGCAGTGAAAAGTCAGCGGCCATGAATCAGGAAAAGGCCCTCGTCAGAGCATGACCATGCTGACCCTTGGTCTCGGACTTCGAGCCTCCAGAACAGGGGGAAATAGATATCTGTGGTTTATAAGCCACCGGTCTGTGGTTTTGTTATGGCCTGCTGAGCTAAGACAGTCCCCTCTTGAAAATAAACCCCAGATTTTCTTCTGGGCTGAGGACAGGCAGTCACACAGCCGTACCAGCAGAGCGGGGAGGCTGAGTGCTTTTGTTGCCAACAGTCCTCCGCTCGCTTCCAGGGAGGTTTGGTGGCACCAACTGCTGGGACCTTGGCTGCCCCTCAGCTTTCTTTCCACACTGCCTTCCGACCTGCCTAGCGGGTTGCTGCTCACCCACCAGTTTTCCAGCTCCCAAAGCACTGCTCTGGTCTCCTCTCCTTCTCACTCTGTACTTGAGAGTGATGCCTTTAGAGTGACTTCTCCATCATTTTAGCGAGATTTAAAGAAGAGGAAGATGCCCATGTGTATGTCTAGGCCACCATCTCCAGAAGGCACAGCCTTTGCTCTGTTCTGCCGTCAGTGATACAGTTCTTAACCTCATGGGTGTAATATGGCTGCTGCTGCTTTGGGCGCTGAATCTGCATTCCAGGCAGGAAGAAGAAGGGTTTGTGCCAGCTGAGACGATCCCCTTTGGTGGGAAAGCATGCCAGCAGTCTTCCTTTTACATCACATGCCCTCTCTTAGCAGCAAGGGGGCCTGATAGCATCTATTTTTTGGTAGGCACATGGCCATTCCAGCAACAAAACAACTTCTGTTTAAAGTGGAGCGTGTATATTTCCACATTCTGCTTGGGCCATGTGCCCGTTCCTGAGTCAGTCACTGGGCCCAGTCAGGGATGGGGCTCCTGACCCCGTCCTGGCCCAGCTGACATGCCAGCTCCCATACCGGTGTCAGCTTGGCATTACATGCAGGAGAGCTGCTTCCCCAGAGGAAACCTGGGGTGGCCTGGAGCTGGGGGCAGGCTTGCTGGTGGGGAGAGATGTGTCAATCAGCACCGGGCACGTGGAAGCTGCTCACCAAAGAGCTGAGCGAGATGCTCATGGAAGATGCTCTCCGCTCACCCATCCAGGCTGCTCCTCGCTCCTGACCTTGCCCTGACCTTCGGGGCTGTCCCTGCCCTCCTCCCGGGGTACGGGCTGGGAGGGAGGTCCCACCTTCAGCTGAGCCTCGTGGACACATGACCGTGGGCCTCCAGGCTGATGATCTCATCCCTCTCTGAAGCGACATCAGTTCCTGGGTGTCGGATACTAACGACACTAAATACTAACGATAGCCAGTCCCGATGCCCAGCCTGATTGGAGACTCTAAAAACAGCAGCTCCTTCTGAAGCCGCACTGGGGAGAGAGGGCACAGAAATCAGGTTTGCAAGGGGCTGGGGCAGGGGGTGGTGGAGGGACTCCAGGAGGGCCTGGACTGGACTCCAGAGCCCTGGGGGCTGCTGTGGGCATCCAGGAACGCTAGGTGAGCCATGTGCCACCCCCCCCCATGCCCCGGGGATGCCACAGGCTCTGCTGGCCCCGTCAGCTCCTTCTCCTGGAGGTGTCTGCTTCCCGGACTTCAGGCTGCCCAGGGAGGAGGAGAAAGTGGCCACGTCCCCTGAGACCCCCCCACACAGCCAGGCCCAACACTCCCCACGCATCACTCCTCGGAACATCGCCACCACCCTGCACGTTTACAGACGAGACAGCAGTGTCCTGTCACTTCTCACGATGACCCTCAAAGCAGCGCAGGGCAGCCCAGAGGTTTGGCCCACAGCTCTAGAGCCAGCCTACCTGGGTTCGCATCTTGCCCCTGCCCTGTACTGGCTGCTGACCTTCAGCAGGGGCCAGGTCCACTCTGGGCCTCAGCGTTCTCATCTGCAAAATGGGGGTGTGAATGGTCCCAGCCTTATTATCTTCATTACCGTGGAGATGGAGTGAAGTAGTTCCCCTCCAAGAGTGGCTGGGACCAGTGGCTGGCAGGTGGGGAGTGCTACGAAAACGATCAGCCCCCACGGTCAGCATTCACACCCCAGGCCCAGGGCTGCAGCTCAGTTAAGTGCGGCGCCCTGACTTGGACACTCTGCCATGGCCCAAGGGCAGGGTCTGCAGAGGGAAGCCATCCTGGCAGGAAGACACAAGGGAGAGTGGGCAGGAGTCTCCAGACGAGGACTTGAGCCTTGAAGCCCCTGGTCCAGGGATCAATGCCTGTAGTGCCCCCAGCGTCAGGACCCCCATCCTGCACCTGACCCAATTCTGCACCCCAGTCCCCTCCCCGGGTCAGAGGTCTGCACATTAGCAAAGGGCACAGGCTGTAGCCTCCAGGGACGTGGCCCGGCTCGGAGACTCGCTGGTGGCGCCAAGTCAGGACAGGACACTCTGTGTCCATGGGGGGCCAAGTCACAGAAATGTGCCCGCGGTGGGGCCAAGCACTCAGGCTCCTCGGGGCGGGGCTGGAAGTAGGTGCACACGGGCCTTATGGGTTTCCCCTCGCCTGCCCCATGCCTACATCCCCGCGCCTGGAACCCAGGCCTGCCCACAGCCGGCGCGCCTTGAATGCCTGAACAATCAGATGCCGACCACAAATGGGACAGGGACCTGGGCGCCCCTCACCCTCACATCCTGCCCTCTTCATACCTGCCGAGCAGACAGCCCCGTCATGCCCTCCTTAGAGACGGTACCCTCATCCCCAGAACCCAGGAATCTGCCACTTTGCTTGGTCAAAGGCACTTTGGGGCTGTTGTGGACAATGGGCCCAGGTCAACTCAACGAAGGAGAAGGGGCTTCTTACAGGGAGTCAGCAGCTGACCCACTTCTGGGAGCCCACCTGGGTACCAGCCATGGCCAGAGCATGCTCACTATCCAGGGGCTCTGGTGTTGAGTTCACCACCATCACAGCCGGCCCCCCGAGACCAGGCCCGGTCACAGTGCAAACTCTTTTTTGAAGCAAAATCCTAAGGTCCTTGCAGGCCTCCCTCATCCCCCTCGGCTGGGAGGATGCAGGGTCAGCCAATGGGAGCCATGCTTCTTGATCAGCCTAGTTTTTAAAAACTGATACAATCTACATAGTCCACATGTTGCTGTGTCCAACATAGACATTTTACATAATTCACATGTTGTTGTTCAGTCGCTCAGTCGTGTCCGACTGTGTGCAACCGCATGGACTGCAGCACACCAGGCCTCCCTGTCCTTCACTGTCTCCGGAGTTTGCTCAGATTCATGTCCAGTGAGTCGGTGATGCATCCAACCATCTCAGCCTCTGTTGTCACATGGCTGTGGGAAGGCTGCTTTCTAGAAATTGCCTAGCGCCTGCCGACAGTCTGTCGGGTGATAGGGAAGCCCCGCTCTACTGGGTTCGGAGTTACAAGCTGGTGAGACACTGTCCCTTAGGGCATGCCCACTAGCGAGCTGGTGGCCTTCCAGTGATGACAGGAAACAGGATCAGTATCCTGACAACCAGAGGGCAGAGGGAAGAAGCCAGCACTTACCCTGCCTTCCCATAGGGAGGCACCACCTGTGACCAAATACGACATGACGTGGAGCCTCTCTATGAACCTGTTTCAGATCAGAAATGAAGACGGCCTCGTAGAACCAGACCATCACCATCTGCAGCCCAAAGGAATCAGCGCCCTGAACGTGACAGCTGCCAACATGATGCCAGGGCCTCCTGACGGGAGACCACGATTCCTGGCCCGAGTGAGCCGGACCCCAGGACACAGGGGCACGGGGACCCCACCGGGACAACTCAGTCGGAGGACGGGCTGCTGACGGTGGGGAAGGCAGTTGCCTCCGCTCTTCAACAGACTCATTAGGGAAAAGAGACGAACAGAGGCGTCTGTAGATCGAAAGAGACGTGAAGGACACAGTTGTAGAGGATGCATGACTTCTTTGTGGATGATAAAACCATAAAGAAAGGCGTGAAAGTGTTGGAGGCAGGAGTCAGAACAGAGGTTACTTTGGGAAAGAAAGGGGCTGTGATGGGTCCTCGGATGGCTGGCAGTGTAATCATTCTAGACCTGGGAGGTGGTTACAGTAACAACTCACGAAGCGACGGATCTGTCGTATGCGGTTTTCTATGTCCGCGTGCTAAGTTGCTTCAGTCGTGTCCAACTCTTTGGAACCCCATGGACTGTAGCCCGCCAGGCCCTCTGTCCAAGGGCTTTCCCAGGCAAGGACACTGGAGTGGGTTGCCATTTCCTTCTGCAGGGGATCTTCCCAGCCCAGGGATCGAACCTGTGTCCCTTATATCTCCTGCATTGACAGGTGGGTTCTTTACCACTAGCGCCACCTGGGAAACCCACAGTTTTCTATATCGATGTTTATTTTACACTCAAAAGCCTTCTTAAAGAAACTTCAGGGACTTCCCTGGAGGTTTAGTGGTTAAGACTCCACGTTCCCAATGGAAGGGGTATGGGTTTTATCCTTGGTCAGGGAACTAAGATCCCACATGCCACGGGGAATGCCCCCCCCCCAAAAAAAAAACTTCAACAGAAAGTGCAAGATAAACTCCAGGAAGCTGGCCGGGGCTGGGGCTGGGAAGTGCCTTGAGGACCCCAGGTCCCAGCAGAGGCAGCAGGGCTGAGGCCAAGGAGGCTGAACCACTCCCTGAAAATCAGTACCCCGCCATGTCCAGCCTCCCCCATCCCATCCAGACTCGCAGGGTTCCAGTGACCCTGTGCCAGGGAGCCTCCCCAGCCTGTCTGTGGCCACCCCATACCCACAGTCACCCCTCTAATCCCAGACGCACCCTGCATTGCCCTCCTCCAGGCTTTGGCCAAAATTGGCCCTGGACATCCCCTTCTGCCTGCCTGCCGCCTCCTCCAGGAAGCCCTCCCTGATGACTTCTGCCCGAGTGGAGTGACCCTTCTTTCCTCTTTGTGTGATGACCATCAGTAGAGGCACCCACTGCCCCCACCAGCCTGTAATGTGCACGGGGCCAGCCTGGCTCACAGCCGTGTCCCCAGTGTCCAGAATCAGGGGTTAAACTCAGTGGTGTGACTCCTGGCTCCTTCCCACATCTGCTGCGTAGAGCTCCTGGGGCCACCACGGAGTGAGACGGGCAGGCCAGCGGGGGGAGGTGCTCCAAGTCCACACCCATGGCCGCCAGGTCACTCCCAGGAGAGAAATAACATAGCCAGTTAGATCTGCTCTGAAAAGCCAACGTCACAAACAGGAACAACTTCATTGCCACCCATCGCAGATGCCACAGCAAAAACAATTCAGGGGGAGCCAGCCCTGTGCTGAGACGTGAGCTTTGGAATCAGATTGAGACTTTGCTGCCAAAAATGACGATGCTCGCGCTCCTCAGCCCACCTGGCTCAGAATGGGAACCCCGGGCGGGGGAGCAGTGAGCGACCTCTCATCACAACCGAGCTGCTCCGGGTCATGCTCGGAGCCCCAAGCTGGGAGCACATGCAGAGCAGCGCAAAGCACGCGGGCCCTGGAAGTCCGGGCTTGGAGGTCTGGCCCCAGCCTTGAAATGGGACAGAAGACTGTATTTATCGTATGGAGAAAAGGGAACCCTCCTACACAGTTGGTGGGAATATAAATTGGTGCAACCACTATGGACTACGGTATGGCGGTGCCTCAAAAAAACTGAAAATAGAACTACCATATGAGCCAGCAATCCCTAGTTGGATATATATATATATATCCCTACTGGGCATATATTCAGACAAAACTATAATTCAAAAAGATACATGCACTCCTGTGTTCGTAACAGCACTGTTCACAGCAGTCAAGAGAGAGAAGCCTCCTAAGTGTCCATCAACAGATGGATGGCTAAAGAAGGTGTTGTACAGATAAACAATGGAATATTACTCAGCCGTAAAAAGAAGGAAATAATGCCTTGTGCAGCAACATGGATGGACTTAGAGATTATCATACTAAGTGAAGCAAATCAGAGAAAAACAAATATCATATGATATTGCTTATACAAAGACCCTAAAATAAATGATACAAATGAACTTACAAAACAGAAACAGACTCACAGACATAGAAAACAAATGTATGGTTACCAAAGGGGAGAGAAGAGTGCTGAGGGATAAATTAGAGATTTGGGATTAACAGATACACACTATTATATATAAAAATATAAACAGCAACATCCTAGTGTATAGTATAAAGAACTATATTCAATACCTTGTAATAACCTATAATGGGAAACAATCTGAAAAGAATACCCTGAAGCACTTTGCTCTACACCTGAAATATTATAAGTCAGCTACACTTCAATTTTCAAATTAATCAATTAACTGTTTAAAATCTGTACTTATTGTCACAATAATGCTGCATGACGAACTCCCGAAAATGCAGAGGCTTCACACATGAGTCCGTTTGGCTCACAGGTCAGCGTTTCAGACCGGGCTCTGCTGTGAAGTTCTTCTCGTGTTGGCCGGGCCCACCCGTGTGGTTGGCGGTCGGCCGGCTCGTGGCTGAGCTGCGTCTGTTCCCATGGCAACAGCAGGGATGCAGGCTGTGGAATGCACACACCTCTAGGGACCTGGGCTCGGCTCAGGCACACGGCCACTTCCGCCACTCTGGTGGTCCGAGGATGAGGGTGAGGGCTTCCAGCCCCCAGGCCTGACCCTGTCTCCTTGCGGTGCTCTGTGTCTCCATCTCCCTGGAGGCTTGGCAGCGGCCACAACAACCCGGCCCACGGGGGCGACGTCTTCTGCCAAGAGCAAGGGGCCCAATTTGTTAGTTCCCAGGGCCGCTGGCCACCCCTGTGTTATCCCAACAAAGCAGGAAGAGCTGCCGGGCTTGCAGCAACAAGCTCTGGCCTGGTCTGTCTTCTCCCTTGTGCCCGGGTGAAGCTACTCCTCCTGCTCGGCCCTCCCAGCCCCACAGTCGCCCCCTCTGTGAAGCCCCGGGGCGGAGAGATGCCTGCGGGTTCCTGTTTGGTCTCAGCCAGCCGCCGAGGGAGGCAAGGCCTGCGGAAATCACTGATGCTCAGAGAGGCACAGGATTCTCCCCTGGCACACAGCTGTAGATGAAATATAGGACTCAGACCCAGCCCGCCCACCCGCCTCCTCCCACTGCCTGGGAGATCGTGTGTGCACGGGGGCCTCTGAATCAGGCCAGGGTCGAAGCCGCAGGCCCCTGCCAGACGTCCAGTAAAGGGGCCGCTCCAGAGGGATCAGGCTGAGGACAGCAGGAGCCCTGCTCTGAGGCCAACGAGGTCTCAGCCACTTGTGACAACCACCTCCAGCTTTCTACACTTGTTCCTCTGAACAGCACCCCCTAGGTCCCTTTGGGGGTCTTTGGAGTGATGTAGTCACGCCCCAGTGACACTCACCAGTTCTGCATGTCTCTGTACTCGACCCATCTTTGTTGGTACCCAGAACACAGTTTGACAGAACTTGGGGTTCTATGGTGATGTAGCCGGGTATCCCCATGCGGGACTCTGGGAAGGCTGTTTTGTTGCTAAGATTCCGGGAGCTGTTTATGCGCCACTGGTTTTGCCAGCCCTGGGGGGCGGGGAGGGTGGCGGGGAGCAGAATGGCAGGGAAAATGATGCCCCCGCAGGATGAGCCCCCAGGACCACGACTCCCGGTGGAGGGTAAGGGTCATATCTCTAGGTTCTGCCATCTCCCCAGTGGTGCGTGTCATGGGATGCATTGTCATGGTAATGGGATGGGCATTGAGGAGAAGAGGGCTTGTGATGCGAACAGCAAGTGGAAGAAGGCAGAGTTCCCACTCAGAGCTGGGGTGGAGACATGCCTCTGCTCCCCCTGCTCCACAGTGCCTGCCCACCCCCCAGCCCAGGAGACCCGTGCCAGGCCCTGACACAGTGGCTGAGCACCCCTCTCTCCCCTAACATCCCCGGTCCCAGCACAGGCCCCAGGGATCTCAGAACACCGCCTCGGCAATTTGCCGGAGCATGTATCCAGCTAATAAGTGGGTGAGTGGGTCCATTGTTCAAAAGTTATCTTTAGACAAGGCATTTATCAGGTTTAATTAACGTGTCAAGGACTCCAGTGCAAGAGATTGCTTCAAATACAGTCCTGATGATACTAAGTTTTCTACATTAATGTCAACTCGGCACCTAGCACTGAGCAGGAAGTAGTGCTACCATCACCCAAAAACAAGAGACGATTTCCCTTCTTAAGTCACATTAAACATGCTGTGGACACCCAAGTGGCGGGCGGGGGGCTCAAAGCCCGCAGAGAGGGGGCAGCTGCCGCTCCCTGGCTGAGAAGCCAGGTGAACCTCCGCGGCTCCCTGGCTGAGAAGCCAGGTGAACCTCCGCGGCTCCCTGGCTGAGAAGCCAGGTGAACCTCCGCGGCTCCCTGGCTGAGAAGCCAGGTGAGCCTCCGCGGCTCCCTGGCTGAGAAGCCAGGTGAGCCTCCGCGGCTCCCTGGCTGAGAAGCCAGGTGAGCCTCCGCGGCTCCCTGGCTGAGAAGCCAGGTGAGCCTCCGCGGGCCTCCCGCGCTGCGCCGCGCCGGACACGGCCCTGACCGAACAGAGTCCTCACATCGGCTTGGTCGGCTTCTTGGATTTTGCAGAAGTAGCAGCTGGGGATCAGGCGGGCGCTGTAACTAGTCTGGGCCACACAGGTTAGATGAGTCTTGGCGTCCAGACCCTCCAGCTCACCCGCCCTCCGGGCACGTGTGGACAGGCAGCTGGCAAACGCTCGCCAACCCCGCGCTGACCCCGAGCTCCGTGCTGGGTGGTGAGCCTCCAGCAGCCGACGAAGCAGGAGGGCCACCTTCTCAGGGAGCCGACATTTTCCTGGGGGATTCAGACAAGCGGGGAGGGGAGGAGGAGGAAGAGCACAAAATTTCTCTCTGCTCACTTAGTTTTGGCCGTGCTGGGTCTGTGGCTGCAAGGTCTTTCCCCCTGGCTGTGGCAAGCGGGGGCTGCGCTCTAGTTGCGGCGCTCCGGTTTCTCTCTGCGCCTGCTACTCTGGCTGCTGGGCACCGGCTCGAGGCTCACGGGCTCAGCAGCTGCGACGCACGGGTTAGCTGCTCCTCTGCAAGCGGGATCTTCTGGGACCGGGGTTCAGCCTGTGTCCCCTGCATTGGCAAGCGGACTCCTACCACTGGACCTCCGGGGGAGTCCCTACATTAGTGTTTCTTGAAACCCCAGTGTCCCCGATGTATAAGGAGCAGATGATTCAAGTTGGTGGGTGCACGGGGAGGGGGGCACGCGTGGCCCCTGCCCAGAAGGGGGCCCTGGCATGAACTCTAACTCTCTGCGGAGGAGTTAAATGTAATACTGACTCCCCGTCCCCCGTTTGGCTGGCACTCTACAGTTTATAAGCCCACTGAGGCATTGACACAGAGCCTGCCAGGGTGCTCGGGTGGAAAGGGTGCTCGGGTGAGCAGGGTGCTCGGTGAGCAGGGTGCTCGGGTGAGCAGGTGCTCAGGTGGAAAGGGGCTTGGACAGGGGTACTTGAGATGTGTTAGATCAGGTTTCAAACCCTGGCTCTTTGAGAAGATCACTTTACTTGGCTCAGACAAGTAAAACAAGGTCACACACACAAGAAAAACAGGTCTATATAAATGATATCTCCTGATGTTGTGCAGTGCACAACCCGTAGAGCTGTACACAGCAGTCCTTTCAATCCTCTCTTTAGAAATCCCATCCAGTTTTCCAGGTCACAGCAGCCATTCATTCTCACATGGGCTCTGTGATTCATTACTTGGGTTTATGTGGGAAAAGGGGCTTAGTGCTTAAGTGCAGTTAGGGGTTGCTGGGGTTTCTGAAGGGATGCCCACATTAGGTAGGTGAACCACAGATCCTGGGAGGACCCAGACTCTGGTCTTCTCCAGAAGCAGACCCTGGGGCAAGGTGTGAGGGCCTTTGCACTGGCTCTTGTCCCTGCCCCAGATGTCTCTTGCTGGCTGCTCCTCATCTGAGCCTCCTCCCAAATGTCATCTCCTTGTAAGGTCTTCCCTGTGCAACCCTTCTCAAGGGGACCGTCACCCCCTCCCATCTCTACCGACCAGGGGTGGTGACAGAGAAGAAATCAGGATCCAGTGTTCCTGGTCCTTGGCCAGTTTCTGAAGGGTACCTAGAGGAGATGAGGGTCCCCTTGCCTTTCTAGCAAGTTCCCAGCTGATACTGGCTCGGCCCCAGGAACTCCACTGTGAGAACCGCTGGGGTAACAAGAAGAGCATTACTGCTCTAGCCCACGGGGTGTGGTGATTCTGCTGTTGCTGTGTTTGCGACCCCATGGACTGCGACCCACCAGGCTCCTCTATCCATGGGATTTCCCGGCAAGGATGCTGAAGTGGGTTGCCGTTTCCTCCTCCAGCAGATCTTCCTGACCCAGGGATCAAATCCACATCTCCTGCTTGGCAGGTAGATTCTTTACCACTGAGCCACTGAAAGCAAAAGTGAAAGTGAAGTCGCTCAGTCGTGTCCAACTCTTTGTGACCCCATGGACTGTAGTTCATCAGGCTCTTCAATCCATGGGATTTTCCAGGCAACAGTACTGGAGTGGGTTGACATTCCCTTCTCCAGGGGATCTTCCCGACCCAGGGATCGAACCCAGATCTCCCTCACTGTAGGCAGACATGCTTTACCATCTGAGCCACCAGGAAAGCCCATTAGATATGGCTGTTGTTGCTGTTCAGTCGCTAGGTCACATCCAGCTCTTTACGACCTCATGGACCATAACACACCAGCCTCCTCTGTCCTCCGCTTGATACTGGCTGGGCCGAGGAACCCCCACTTTGAGAACCACTGGAGTAATGAGAAGACCACTGCTGGTCTAGCAGACGGTGTGTGGCGATTAGGGTTTTCCTATTATTATTATTGCAAAGCGCAGAGGGACAGCACTTTACCGTTTGCAAAATATTTGCACATCTCACCTCTGAGTGGTCCTGCTATTCTGACTCATTTCATACTGGCCCCGGGACATTCAACTGCTTGCTGGGTGAGTCATTAGAAAGGACTGAACCCAGACCTCCTACCTGTTCCTGTTCATCTTAAACCCGCTCTTCATCAGTGCTCACACCCGCTTCTCCAGAGGATGAGCCACTTTTACGGAGCACCTGCTGAACGCCAGGCACCCACTCAGACATCACACACACTGTCCACGTGACCCTGCGCCTGAGGCCCGGGGGGAGGGGGGCGGGGCTCACTTTTCCCCCTTTCACAGAAGAGGAAGCTGAGCCCTGCCAAGCCCCCGGCTCTCCAGGGGCCGGAGTGAGGATTTGCCTCCAAGGCGTTGGGCGGGAAGCTTGGACGGTCCCCACCTCTGAGCGCCCCCGGGCAGGCTGCAACGCAGATCTTTGTGGGAGCTGCTTCGAGGGTACCTGAGTTCCCACAGCCCCACGCACCACCATGGCCAAGGGCTGAGGCCAGATGTGTCTTCTGCTTCCCGAGGCTTCGTTCTGGGTCCTTTCGAAAACTACTCTTCACCCAGCTCACTCCTCCATTTGTAACTTGCTCCTCTCGGGTCCTCAAGTTAATTATTCCCAGACAGGAAATTACTTCTAACCCCAGAAACAGGTAATTTCGGGTGGCAGAGCTCATTATCAGCCTTGCACACGCGTCTTCTCCAGCCTGGAAGCGCAATTAAGGGAAACGCTGGCAGAGATGTCAGCGCCTTGCTGGCTCCCAGAAGCAGCCGAGCCCCGAGAGTCAGCCGCCCAGGGACCGTGAGCCCAGCTCCCAGGAGCCTCTCCTGGTGGAGGGGCAGGTGCAGCCTCTGGGGCCCACACCTCACCAGTGACCCTGAAGGGTCGAAAAGGGTGCCCCCCCGATTCATGTCCCTCCAGAATCTCAGAATGTGAACTTGTTTAGAAACAAGCTCTTTGCGAGTGTAATTGGTTATAGATCTGGAGGTGAAATCCTGGATTTAGGACGGGCTATAAACCTCATGACTGGTGTCCTCATAAGAAGAGATGGAGACCCAGACACCCAGGGGAGGGGCCAGGGGAAGGCAGAGGCAGAGACTCGAGGGATGTGGCCACGAGCCACAGGCCGCATGGGGCCACCAGGAGCTGGAGGGGTCAGCAAGGGCCCTCCCCTGGAGCCTGCAGGGGGTGCACAGCCCTGCTGACACGTTGATTCCAGGCTTCCGGCCTCCAGAACTCTGAGAAAATGAATTTCCTTTGCTTTTTTTAATTATTTTTTTTTATTGAAGGATAATTGCATTATAGAATTTTGGTGTTTTCTGTCAAACCTCAACATGAATCAGCCATAAGTATGGAAAGAGTAACACGGAAACTTACATTACCATAGGGGAAATAGATAGCCGGCGGGAATCTGCTGTATGGCTCAGGGATGTATGTATTTCTTTTAAGTCACACAGTGTGTGGTGATTTGTGACAGTGGCCACAAGAAATTAATATGGTCACAGGTGGACAAGAGGAGGCGTGTGGTGTGCAGGCGGCTGTGTGTGAGGAGCAAGGAGACTTCTGGCTCTGCTTGACCAGCGGGCTGGACCCTGGAGTCTGGGCTGGAGGTGGATGTTGGGGTTCAGGAGCAGAGAGTGGGTGAGGGAAGATGGAGGGGGGCAGAGTAGCCTGCTGGGGGCTCCCCGTGAAGCAATCCCTGATCACCAAGCCTGGCCCCCCAAGGACGGCATCCCTCACACGCCTCTTCCCACCCACCACGATGCTGGAGGTGCCTTGTCCACCTCCTATGTGGCCCTCTAGATGAGCCCCATGCCCCGGGCAGCCCTGGCTCAGCTCTGTCCACAGCATGGGCCCAGGGTGGGCCTCGGCGAACACATGGAGCACCACCGCTAATGGAGATGAGTCAGACCCTAGCAGAGCTTCCACTTCCTCCCCCTCCCCTTCCCTTCTGATCAGTGAAGCAGGAGGCACAGGACAGCCAAGGGGGAGGTTTGCTTGTGTTTTGATCTTGGAAATAAACAAGGGCGGGGTTCTCTGTATCAGCAGAGGCTGAGATTTTTCCAATAATGACACACCCAGTAATAACAGGAAATTGGTGTTAATGCCTCCTTTTCTCCCTCCACAGATCCCAAGCAGGCTGGAAGGAACTCACTCATCTCTAATTAAGCGGAGAAGGAAACTGAGGTTCCAAAAGGCAGGCGACCCACCAAAAGCACTCAAGGAAGCAGTGCACAGCTAGGGACTCGCACTTCTGAGTTTAGGGATCGAACCCGGGTCTCCTGCGGCTCCTACACTGCAGGCAGATTCTTTACCGCTGAGCTACTGGGGAAGCCCCAAGAATACTGTAGTTGCTAAGTCGTGTCTGACTCTTTTGCAACCCCATGGACTGCAACACTTCGGGCTTCTCTGTCCATGGGATTCTCCAGGCAAGAATACTGGAGTGGGTAACTGTTTCCTACTCCAGGGGATCTTCCTGACTCAGGGATCAAACCCACATCTCCTGCATCTCCTGCATTGGCAGGCGGATTCGTGGCCATTAGCACCGCCTGGGAAGCCCCCTGAGTTCAGGACTGGGGCCCTTTTTGTCACATGTGGTACAGGAGGGACAATGGGGCGGGAGCCTGTGGAATTTCATGACTCCTGGGGAACCTTGAAAAGTTACTCTCCTGAGCAGCTCCGTAGGGTCCTAGTTTAAGTGGCTCTTCAAAGAGGGCAAAACAAGGACATGCAGGATTTCACAGGCTCCAAGCATCATCAGTCCTCTTCCTTACGTCTCTCTGTGATGGCCTTGGTCAAAGCCACCAGCGGCCCCTTCTTCTCTTCTTTCTGCCTAGAATGTGGATGTGATGTCTGGGTGCAGGCTAATATCCTTGCTAACCCAAAGAAGATGGAAGTGGGGGCAGAGTGACTTTGGAGGGCCGGAGGCTTTAGCCTGGATATGCAGGGACTGTGGCTCCTGGCACTTCTAAGAGCCTGGGTAGCAAGCCAAGAGGCTGCCTGGAGGAGGGGGCTTTGGATTCAGATTCATGTTGAGCAAACGCTAGCCCCTGAACACAGATTTCCAGCCCTCCTGCTGCCTGGCCGGGGTGTGACATCCCCCATGTCCTGCTGTGGGAGGTGAGGTGCCTCAGCGTCTTGAGAGAAGCCCAGACTCAGTCTCAGCGGCACCCCTCCCTCTCCCAGGTGTCGCCTCAGGCAGGCCCTGGCCTCTCTCTGAGACCCACTTCCTCTTCTGCCAGGTAGGGGTCATGGACCTCCCCAGGGGCTGCTCTAAGGGCCACGGGGCAGGGGAGGGGGAGACCTGGCACCTGGTCACGGTTGGCCTTCACAGGGTCTTGGGTCCCCGCCCAGGACGGAGGGCTTCACGGCTCACCCCCGTGACAGCTGAGTACGTGCCTGTCATCACTGGCCTCCTGCAGGTGGGGAGATGGAGGCTCAGACAGGCCAAGCAGTTGGCTCAAAGTCACACAGATAATTAGTGGACATTCAACACCATCCGGAGGGGAAAGCAAGCGGGCTTTCAGCGAGGACGGCATCACCTCTGCTCTGCCCCAGGACAGGAGCTGCAAGCAGATGCTCACCGTGGACCAAAGAAGAGAAAGGGGCTGACCTCAACAGAGAGAGGAGCCAGTCACAGGGACACCCCAAAATCACCCCTGGGAAGTGTGTGTCATCCCAAACACTATGACGCGAGTTTCAGAGAAAAACAAATGAGAAAAATGAAAAGAGAAACTGGAGGTAAATATACCAATTTCCAGAACAAATAGATGATCAGGACTGAGTCACCCAAGCATAAGCAAGATGAAAAGATGCCATGGCAACCGTGCAAACACACGGCATCCAAAGAGAAAGGGGTTGGGGGGGGGGGGGCACACGCATGTACAGGGGACAGGCCTGCAGCCCAGCCCAGGTGAGATCGGCCAAGACCCAGACTGCGTCAGACAACTGGCTGAGAACATGAATTCCACAAAACCAAAGACCAGAGAGAGGACTGTAAGACAACAGCGTGAGATGGAAGGGAGATGTCGGACCCGAGGAAAGACATTAAGGACAAAACATGCTTGTGGATGTAATGGATGAGAGGCAGCAAAGAGCCTCACCTCTGTCCTAACTTGGCTCAAATGTTCTCTTCCCACCCAGACCATCCTGACCGCCCTCACCCATCCCTGCTTTCCTTTCTTCACAGCCTTTAGCCACTTCTCACATACTCTCCAATCGATTTATTTGGCAGCTCACCTCTCTACCCCGACAGTTTCCAAGAGAGAGGCTTTTATCTGTCTCGCTGCTTCCCCAACACCAAGAAAGATGCTGGGCAAATGGTAAGCTGTCAATAAATGTGTGATGAGTGAATGAATGGATGGAACAGATACCGATAAAAATGGAATTAATGATTCAGAGGAAAACCTTGAGATAATCCCAGTGATTGCAGCTGGAAAAGACAAGAGATAAAAGAGAGAGAAAAGTGTATGGATGTAGAAATGAGTGCAACTCAAGGATAATCGGTGGCCCTGATTCAGATCCCTAGTAATGGCTACAGATCGTGTAAAGATGGTATGAGAATCCTTGAAATAAAGGAATTAGTGGATCCAAAATTCAAAACAGCATGTCACGCTTCAGAAATGCTGCTACAGAATGCTCCACACATATTTCTTGGCAAAGTTATGAATTTCAAAGAAACAGACTTCTTCAAGCATTCAGGATGAAAAAGAAAACTGTTTATGAGGAGGAGAAGAGCTGCCTGCTTAAGGCTTCTACAGCAAGCATCCACTTCATAAGACCGCGAAGCACCAGGTCTTGAAGGGAAAAAGGTGTGAGAAAATGACTCACATCTAGGATGCGGTTTGTAAAGACTTAAGGACGGAAGAACGTCAGGAGCACACCCGCGAGCCCCTCTAAGGGAGAAAATAGACAAACGATTTATGATAAAATCTGGGCAACCAAAGAACTGGTAAGCCTCCAATCAATTTAAATATGCGCTTGAGGGTAAGCAGTTATAGGAATTAGGCTTTCAGAAAAGAAGGTGAATGTCATAAAGCATCGTAAGAAATAATCCTATAAGTATAAAAATCATGAGCTGAAAGGAGAGGAGATCATGAGAGAGGTGTGGGTGCTGATTTCATCTTTCACAACAGGGAACTAAGAACCTGTCTAAAATTGGCACCAGGAGATTAGTACCTATAATCATTTTATAATACCTTTAATTCTTTTAATTTTTTAGTGTTTTTCAGAAACTCTTTTTTTCATAAAGGGATCTTTTAAAAAACAGTTTATTTGAAGTTTAACAGTTCCTTCATTTCTTCTTAATTTACCTGAACATAAAAAATTATAGAGAATATTTTCACTAAAAATCTTGTATAGTTAGATAATATTTTCTTTAAAAAAAATTTTTTTTTGGCTGCCCTGGGTCTTCATTGAGACACGTAGACTTCTCTTGTCGAGCAGGCCTCTAACTGAGGCACGCCGGCTTTGTCGCCCCACAGACTGTGGGATCTTAGCTCCCCGACCAGAGATCGAACACCCCTGCATTGGAAGGTGGAGTCTTAACCACTAGACCACCAGGGAAGTCCCAGCTAATATTTTCTTAAAGTATATTTCTCTCTTCATTTGGCTAGAATGATGTTGTTCACTTAATACAGAGTGAAGGAAAAAAAACATGCCAGGTGATTACTTCTAGACAGTAGGATGTGGGTGCTTTGTGTAGCTTCAGCAGTGAGTGTTGGGTGCTTTATTTGTCCTCTTTGATGAGGGTGGTGGTAACACAGGCTGCGCATCCCAGATCACTCCCTCAGGATCTTGTTTCCCCATCTCCTTGGTGTGCTGACATGCTTGCTCTGGCCCGCGAGATGTGAGCAAGTGAGTGATGTCACTCCAGAGAGAGGCTCTAAAGTCACTGATATTTCCGGGCTGTTTGTTGCTGCAGCATAACCTAGGTTGTTCTGACCAATATAATATGGATGTGTTGTTTTATAAAAACAACAGAGTGATTTTTTCGATGAGAAGGAAGGAAGGGAGGAAGAAAAGAAGGAAGGAAAAAAGAAAAGAAAAAGGGAGGGGAAGGAGGGAGGGAGGAGAGATAGGAGAGGGAAAAGAGAATTCAAACTAAGTATACCAGAGGGTTAACATGATTAATGCTATGAGGTGGAAACCTGTACATTCTTTGAAACTTTCACCAGTGACAGTGAAAGAGAAAAACACCATCTCAGACCATCAAATGGGGACTGTGGGTGTGGGGCAAGGGGGACAGGAATCAAGGCCACAGGAGACCCCAGACTGAGACCCTTGGAGCAGAGAAATGCCCAGTGGTACAATTCCCTAGCTCAGCTTGGTCGTTCAGTCATGTCCAATTCTTTGCAACTCCACGGACTGTAGCCCGCCAGGCTCCTCTGTCCATGGAATTATCCAGGGAAGAATACTGGAGAGGGTTGCCATTTCCTCCTCCAGGAGATCTTCCCAACCTAGAGATGCAACCCAAGTCTCTTGCATCTCCTGCATTGACAGGCAGATTCTTTACTACTAGCGCCACCTGGGAAGCAGGGGCAGGAGGTGGGTAATACCGTCTGCCCATAATAGAGATGAGGAAACTGAGGTTCTGAGAGAAGTGTGATTTTTCCCAACGTCACACGGACAAAGCAGGGACCCAGCCCCAGGCAGGAGGCTCTTGTCCCCTAGGGAGGCGGGCAAGTCCCTAGGGTGGGAAGGGCCCAGGGGCCCAGGGGTGAACTGCTGACGGAGGGCCCTGGCTGGGGAGGGGCGCCCTCCTTGGCAACAAGTATGCAGAGGCCCCATCCTGTGAGTGGGGTTCCCTACCAGCCGGGGTTCTGTAATGCTGCCTGAGGCCCCCACCCCCTGAGAGGCCTCCTAGCTCTACAGCTTGAAGAGGATGCCGGCAGGCGGCAGGTCTGGGTCCCCGGCCAACTGACCAGCTGCTAAACCTAAGGCAGGTCGCCCACCTGAGTGGAAGTGTCCCAGTGCTGGAAGGACTTGAGTCATCACAGCTCACTCCGCATGGTTCTGGAAGGCCAGAGGAGCTGACCACCACGGATGAGTTATTCGTCCCCAAAGCCAGAGGCAGCGCCTGGCAGGCTCCACCTGGCCACCATCCTCCCCACCCCCAGGACACTGAGTCCTCCCCAGGCAATAGCCTCCCAAGCTGTTACTACAACGCTTTGGAGCTACTTTTTTTTTTTTTTGCCAGCAACTCCAGCGCTAAAAATACCGAGGCAGGTAGAAGGAGCCAGGTGTGCGGGGGAGGCGCCAGGCTTTCGTCGCGTGCCCTGAGCCGCAGCTTTCCCTGCTGGGTCTGGACGTGTGGACGGAACCAGCCAACGGCCGATGGTGCGGGCAGAGGAGACGAGCAGGGCGCCTGGTCCACACTGCACGAGGTGGGGGGAGAGAGGTGGGGAGCAAGGGGGTGGGGGCTGGGGAGGGAGGTGGGGAGGGGCTTCTGGGGGCGAGTTCGGGGAGGGAGCCTCACCACCGCCCCCCAGGCGCCCCCCCCCACGGCATTCCCTCCAGCTGCAGGTCCTGTGGCCACTGTAGTGAAGGACCAGGAGAGTAGTGGCTTAACACCATCCAGGCCTGTTCTCTTACAGCTCTGGAGGCCAGAGGTCAGAAATTCACCTCCAGGATGAAAGTCCAGGTGTGGGCAGGGCCAGCCCCTTCGGAGGCTCCAGGGGACAATCCGATTCCTGACCTTCTCTGGCCTCTAGAGGCACCAGTGTGGCCTGGCTACTGGCCCCACGTCCATCCGGCTTCTGCTTCCATCCTCACACCTCCTCTCGGACCCTGGCCTTCCTGTATCCCTCTTATCGGGACCCTTGTGATGACACTGAGCCCACTGGATAATGCAGGACAGTCGCCCTGTCTCAGATCATTGCCTTCAGCACAGCTGCAGGGTCCCTCTGATGACAGAAGATCACACGCTCACACATGCCCGGAATTAGAATGAGGACATCTTTGGGGGCCATTATTCGGCCAACCACACTCCTCACAGGCAGGAAGGTGGCAAAAGCTGCCACTGGCGTGAGGATGAAGGTGTGCAAGGCACTCACACACATCAGCTTGTACAGGATCACAATGACCCTGGTGGTGGATATACCACTGGCTCCATTTCACAGAAGAGGAAACTAAGGCAGAGGGTGGTGCAGTAACCTGCATTAGCCACCTGCAGGCAGTGATGGAGCCAGACTCCCACGCAGACCCTCACCCAGTATGTGACCTTAGCAGGAGATCAAGGGCAGCATCCAAGGTGACTTCTGACTCTGCATCATTCTAGAACTACGCTAGAGCCTTTGACTGTGTGGATCACAACAAACTGTGGGAAATTCTTAAAGAGATAGGAATATCAGACCACCTTAACCTGCCTCCTGAGAAACCTGTATGCAGGTTAAGAAGTAACAGAATTGGACATGGAACAACA